TCTCTTCAGGCAGGCTTTTCCTGAGTGACTGTCTGTCTGAGAGGTTTTTTAAAAAATATATATATAAGGCAGGCTTTTCCTGAGTGACTGTCTGTCCGAGAGGGTTTTTTAAAACAAACATATAGTTGTGCCTCGTTGCTTTGAATGTGCTTTTGGTGTTGGTTTTGTTTACTCTTTTAGTGTGGCATTTATACATACTCACGTACTTCCTGTTTTTAGCGTTTAAATATTGTCTTGAAGGGATGTCAGCTCTCTTCTGTCCTTTTTATGGAGAAAGGTGTTTGTGTGTGGGGGGGGTCTAAATGTTTTAAATAAAGAAATACCAATAAATATTGTAGCGGGCCATCCAGTTTTAAATCTAACCACCAGACCCCAGGGTGGTCTTGCCTGCAGAGGATCGGAGCTGTTACCCCTGAAACTTTGGGGAGAGATTCCCTCCCACTTGGCCCATGAGTCACCCTCTCCCCAAAAGATCGTCATACAGCGATTTTGTCGTAATGCGGGGCAATCGTTAAGCGAGGCACCACTGTATGTGTAATAGCTAATCCTCCATGGCTATCTCCTGGCCACGCTTAGAGATAAGGAAGGACTTGGCAGGCATTTGCTACCGAATTTGTTCTTGGTCAAGGCAAAGATCAGGAAAAAGTGGGCGGGTCCCTCCCGGATGATGTTCACCTGTTTCCAGACACAGCCAGACCGGCCACAGTTTTGTGTGTTCAGTTGTAACGCACACTTGATCAGAGGTTGAAAAGTCCCCCCCCTCTTTTCTTTTAAGATGACAGCCTCCAGAATCCGGAGGGTGGCGGGAAGGAAGGAAGGAAATGAAACTTTCCCCCAAACTCTACACCTGATTTTTTTCCTAAGATCCTGCAGGAATTTGCAATTCGCCCGGGATCAAGGGGTTCACCCCCTTTGCCTTAAACCTTAGCCTGTGCAAAATGGCTGCGGCTACTCTGCAAGGCGGGTATGCCCTCTGCACAGGCTCAGAGGGGCTCTTTTCGCAATGCACCCATCGCAAAGCTAACCCCTGGGCATTTATGGCTGTCGAATCGCTGCCCTCGCCCATCCTGGGTCACTGTTATCTCACTCTTCCTCTCTCTTTGGCCTCAGTTTCCCCCAGAAAGAGAGGCCAGGAAAATCAGCTGGGGCTGTTTCTTCTCCTTACTCAATGAGAGGTCAGGGTCAAGGGGCCGCGGACATCCTTGCTGACCCCCTAAGGGTGGGGTTCAGACCTCAGCAGGTGCCCAGTGAGGTTGAACCTGGGTACCAGTCCTGGGGGGAAAAATAGAATCTGTAGCTCAGAAGATGTCGTGAGAGACTCCGGCTCTTTTACAGCACAAATCATGTGCAAGAAGCCCCTATTTCACTGCTAGGTACGGTATATGCCATTTAAGAAGCTCTGTTCTGGACATCACTGAGGTTTTGTGGTTTCCACCTTGTTATCCTGAGTTAGCTACCCGCTCTCGTCTGAGTTCAGAAGCTAAGCAGAGTCAGGCCTGGCTAGTGCTTGGATGGGAGGCCACCCCAGAATTCATGGGATCTCTGGAAAGGGTGTGGAATGGCAGGCTTTGACTGCCGGTTGGAGCCGGCAGTCCTGGGCTAGTTGATGCCCAAGCCAGCTTCCCGTGCTGATGTGTTCCTCAAAAAGCACTTTTTTAATGCCTGTGTCCTAACGAGGAGGGCAAAGGGGCTGGAAAAGTCTCGTGTCTGAAATATGTTTGGGTCCAGAGTTGTTCTCGCGATTCACGGAGTAGAGCATGCAAAGCGGCAGGTTTGGAAGCCCCATCAAACTCATTTCTTTTTTTCTGCTGTGGGTCTCTGAGTTGTCCCTCAAACAGGTTGCTGTTTGCTTCTCGCTCTGCGGACGAGAGTGGCTGAACTTCCAGGCCGAGGACTGTCTAAAATCAGCTGCCAGGCCTGAGTCATCTCCTGGCGAACGCCCCGGGGGCCTTGGAGGCATGCCGGGCCAAACATTCCAGGACTCTTTCCCTCGGTCGGTCGCTGACACCGTACTTGGAGGGAGGCGCTTGAGAGAGAGAAAAGCCGGTCCTTTTAAGCCCACCCTCGGGGGAGACCTGGAGGGGGCTGTAACTCTGCACTGCAGTCCCCAAAGCGCACAAGCAGGTGGTGGGTGTTTTCTGCGGCTCCCTTTTATTTTCAGAAGAAGCCAGCGCTGGAAGTTCTCCGCCTGCGTGTCTCCTGCACCCTATTCCCTACAGGAGAGGGGAGGATTCTGGGCCAGCATCTTCCAGGGAGCAGAAGGTTGCTTGGCGTTGGTCCAGAAACCCCAAAAAAAGATCCCAACCTTGCTCGGAGCCAAGATTTCCAGGCCTTTTTCTCCCTCGGCTATCGGGAGCTCCAGACACAGAGGAGCGCCACCAACTCAAGCCGGGGAGCTAATGTGCCTTGTTTCTATACCTCTTTGTTTAGGTCCTGGGGCAAGGCAGGCAGTGCTGCGCCTGAAGCAGTGGATGCTGGGACATGTTGTGCTTGGTGGGGTGGGGCCGTGGAGCATGGTTGATAGGCAGAGCCAGGGGGACAGGCAGGCAAGTGAGCCTAGTAAGCATGCCTAGCCGGAGACATACAGAGAGACAGGCCTTCTCTCAGACCTGTCCTCCACCTCACTTGCTTCCTTCATGGATTAAGTCCGGGAAAAAAAAGAGAGAGGAGAATATATACCGTGTTTTTCCATGTATAAGACTATACTTTAGACAATTGAGGGTCGTCTTATACAGCTGAGGAGAGAAAAAAAACAAGTGGAAGGGAAAGCAGGGATCAAAGCGATCCTGCAGCCCTTTGATCCCTTTCCCCTTACACTTGCTATGCCCCACTTAAAGATTTCTTAATTTTGGGTTAGAAAAGTCGGGGCGTCTTATACACGGGGGCGTCTTAGACACGGAAAAAAAATATGGTATATCTTCTCTCCACACTGATAGGAAGAGCCCAAGATTTCAGCAGGAAAAGGGCTGGTGAGAGTCTGTGGTAAAGGGAACAGACAAGGATCACCTCTGAGATGGGATGGGAGCCCATGCCTTTACTGGATCAGCCACCTCTGGCATGGGGAATCAATAGGAAGTGGCCTCACACCGGTTCTGATCACTGCTCTATCAGCTTTGACGAGCGACACTTTCTGGCTAGATTCCGGCTTAGGCGTGCCCAAATATTTGTGCTATTTCCCCGGTGGTCTCCCAACCAAGGATTAAACCACCGTGGCCTGATTTAGCTTCCAAAAATCATAGAATCATGGAGTCAGAAGGGATCCCTTAAGGCCATCGGGTCCAACCCCCTGCTGAAGACAGGAATCCAAATCAAAGTCGGTCTGACAGAGTTAAGTTTCTCTTGAAGGTCTCCAAGCGTTGGCACGCTCACCACCTCCCAAGGTTGTAGATTCCCACTGTCGTACTGCTCTAACAGTTAAGAAGTGTTTCGGGTATTCGGCTTAAATCCGGCTTCCTGTAAATTGAGTCAATTATGACGTGTCCTGAACTCTGGGGTGATCAAGAATAGATGTAGGGCCACCTTTCAAGGATTTGAAAAGTGCTATCAGATTTCTCCTCAATCAGACGGGTGTATGTGCTCCGGCTTCCTTCTGACTTTCAAGGATTTGAAAAGTGCTATCAGATATCTCCTCAATCAGACGGGTGTATGTGCTTGTTCGTCAGGCTTGTCTCCCTAGAAGGTGAGGTGGAAATATGGACACACCTCAGTCCTCATGTCTGAGCAACCCTCTTAGCCACAGACTGCCTGCTAGTGACAGAGCGGAGGGAATGGGAAGTAGTTCAATCCTGGAATATCAGGAGTTATATAGTGGAGTCGGAGTGGAATCACTAGGACTAGGTGATGATATTGTGCTCTTCCAGCTTCTCTCGGTCTGGTTGCAACCTTCACATCAGCTGGGATTTTTTCCTACTCACAATCTACTTATGAACTCTCCCTGCTCTCACTTCCTGTTGGCTTGGTGTCTGAATGAGCAATTAAGATCCATTAGAGATATCAAAGACCTGCTCCTGGTGTGTAGAACTTCTAGCACTGGTTTATTGTGATGCCTTTTTAAAGTTAAGGTAGTTTTAAATGTTTACTTGCTTTTAATTATTCCGTTGTGTTTTAATTTGTGTACATGTACTTTTAAATGTTTACTTGCTTTTAATTATTCTGTTGTGTTGTGATTTGTGTACATTGGTGCCCGGCATGACGAAGATAATCTGTTCCGGGAAAATTGCTGTTTAGCGAAATCGTCGTCATGCGAAATCAGTTTCCCTGTTGGAATGCATTGAAACCCGTTTAATGCGTTCCAATGGGGAAAATACCTTGTCCAGTGAAGATCGCCCATAGGGAAGCCATTTTGCGAGCGCCGATCAGCTGTAAAAATGGCTGCCCTGCGAAGCATGGGTCCAGAAAACACAGGGCAGCCATTTTGCGGAGCCGGAAAAATCGTCGTCTTGCGAACAAAGGGTTCGCGAAGCATGGACCTGATTGACGTCCAGCAAAAAATCCCACATTGGAATAACTGTTTTGTGAATCGCTATAGCGATTGCAAAAAATCATCGTAATGCGGATTTGTCATTCAGCTGGGTCGTCGTCTTGCGAGGTACCACTGTATTGTTTAATGGTGTTTTTTTTAATGTTCAACTCAGGTTTTTCATTCTGTTCTTTCAAATATTGTGACTGGCCTCGAGTCCCCTTGTCAGGAGAAAGGAGGCCAATCAATCAATCATCAATCAATCAATCAATCAATGGTTCAACACAGCTGCCTGCATTTTTTGGAGTCTCATTTGGCAGGCCTGGATTTGGGTGTTTTCTTGATGAGGACCTGATTGTCACAAGGCCCTTGCTTCCTGTGGGTTTCCCCTGATTTTTGATTGTCTGTGTTTCCCGAACTGTTTATGATCCAGTCACTACATTCCTCAGGCACCTGCTCTGATTTCTCAGGTGATGCACAAAAGTGGGAAGACTAGCCCACCTCATACCAGAGGCGGCTGCAGTATTGATTGTCTTCTTCTCTTAGTTTCATAGGTTTCATCCTTGGGGAAGGATTCTTGTCTACCAGCACCGGTGGTCCTTCTCTATCTGCCTCAAGTGACAGGCTCACGCTCCCAAAATGTCTGCAACCCTGGACCTGGAAAAGGGGTGTACGGTGGACGAACTTCTACACGGTTGCATCGAAGCTTTTGGTAAGGGAGAAGGGAGGGCCTCTGGCTCAGGATCGAGAAGGTGCGGGTGTCACAAGTGGCCGAAGCAGAAAAGGGCGGCGGTATTCGGCCCGAATTGCAATCTCTTTGCGCTGCGTTTGGGATTGTGGAAGAAAAGAGAAGAGGTGGGGTTGGAAAAAAAAGGATGTTTAAACTTCTTTACAAAGCCCCTGTGCCTGGCCACTGCACAACAGAGTTGTGTTGAAAGTCATTTCCCAAAGAAGAAGGATACAACGTCGGAAGTGACCTCAACAGCTGAAAGAGAGAGAAAGCCTAAGAGTGAAAAATTGCATGTAGATGTGTAACATACAAGAAGGGAAACCCACTGGCTATCTGATTCAGGGTACTAGTTCGATGTGCCAATGTGCTATTTCTACCCTGAATGAACTTCATTTTTTTGCGTTCCCCACCCCATCCCATTCAGTATATCACGGACACCCCCCAAAAGCCTTATTGTGTGCTCTGTTTTCCAGACAGCGAAGGCAAGGTTCGAGATCCCCAGCTCGTCCGCATGTTCCTCATGATGCACCCATGGTATATCCCATCCTCCAAGCTAGCTGCCAAGCTGCTGCAGATATATCCTTTAGCCTACCAGGCATCATCCTCCCTCCAGTCACAGAATCAAAGTGTTGTCAAGTCAGAAGGAACCTCAAGAAGCCTCAGATCCACTCCCTTCGTTGGTGCAATTCCAGTTAGCATCCCTGTTTGCTTCCAAGCGGGGCGGATCCCACCCTTACCCCCGTTCTGGTATTCTCCAGATGGGGTGGAATTCAGTATCCATTATCCCCAGGTAGCTTATGCTGGCTTATCTGCTGAGTTACCCTTGAACTGAGCATGCTTAGCCTGGAGAAAAGAAGACTGAGGGGAGATAGGAGAGGACTTTTCAAATACTTGGAAGGTAATCAGAAAGAGGAGGGGGCAGGATCTGTTCTCGATCATGCCAAAGTGCAGGACGCGTAAGAATGGGCTCAAGCTGCACAAGTGTGGTATGGGCGCAGAAGCCGCACTTCCCTGCCTCATGGTGCAGTGGTTAAACTGCTATATATCCCCTTTCTCCTAAGGAAACCAAGTAAATGCATTAAAACCGCTAAAATCAACAGGACGCAGTTAAAAAGCAATGCAGCCGGACAGTTAGACATATACTGTGGTAAGGTCTGCTTTTTGTCAGCACCCGCAGATTACACAGCTTTGCCCCTTCCTGGATGGGCAGTCACTGGCAACATTGGTTCCGAGCACTGGTTTTCTGATGGATTGGCTACTGTAATGCTCTCTACATGGAGCACCCCTTGAAGCCAGCGTCCACCAAAGATCTGGCTGGCCTCCTCCCTCCAGAGATTTTTAAAAGCAGCTGAAAAACCACTATTTAGGGAAACATTTAAGGAGATGCTTCCCCTTAGTTAGCATACCTTTCAACCATGGGCCATCTTGTTTTATGGGTTTCAGGATATAGATATTTGTAATATTAAATTAAATTTAAAAGATAGGTTTTATAATTAAAATACAGTGGTGCCTCACTGGACAGTTGCCCCGCATGACAGTTTTTTTTGCTAGACATTGACTTTTTGCGATCACTATAGCGATTCGCAAAACAGTGATTCCTATGGGGGAATTTTGCAGGACAATGTTTGGAGGCGTAGACAACACATTAAACAGGTTTCAGTGCATTCCAATGCGGAAATGCTTTTCGCTAGACAATGATTTCGCTAAACACCGATTTCAGTGGAATGGATTATCATCATCTAGCGAGGCACCACTGTACTAGCAAAATTCTGTGAAGGTGAAACCTGGATCTCATTTTTGCACTGAGACCCAGCAGTGGGAAAACTCCCTCATGGTATGAACGCCAAGGAGGCGTACACGGTTTCTCTCCTTCTCTTTTCTCCTTAACTCTGCTGTGAACTTACCAAGATTCTCGCGGCTCGGAAACCAGCTCCTTGCAGATTAAAACCTGCCATCTGGTGAGGTAGGTGTTGAAAGAAGGGCCCTCAAAGTACAGAAGAGGGTGAAGGAGGTTGAAATGGGATGGCTAGGACAGTGGTTCTTATCCTGACCTCTGTTTTGGAAGCGTGCTTTGATGGACTGCAATTACTGTATGTCCTCTGAGAGATAAGGTCTCAAAAGGCATAGGTGGGAGCAGAGCTGGCCTTACCATTGGTTATTGTGAGGCAGCTGTCTCAGGCAGCAGATGGTGGGGGGTGGCAGTGGTGCCCGTCGCCCTGGCGGTTTTCCTCATTCAGAGTTCTGTTACTGAGCTGGCTCCCTGTCCTTGCCGTAGAACATTTATATTGCAAGATAAAAGGCTATACAGTGGTGCCTTGCAAGACGAACGCTTCGCCAGACGAAAAACTCGCAAGACGAGATCGTGTTGGTGACTCGCAAGACGGCTTCTATGGCCGTCCTTCGCAAGACAGTTCCCCCCCCGCAAGACCGATGCCTCGCAAGACAAAAATAATTCATTCGTCTTGCGAGGTTCCCATAGGAATGCATTGCAATGCATTCCTATGGGAGACCGCTTTTCACAAGATGAAAATTTCGCAAGACAGCGCTACTCGCGGAACGAATTGCTTTCGTCTTGCGAGGCACCACTGTACAAACATACACATATGAAATATCGCCTTTTAGATAAGTGGCTAAAACTTTGCACCATGTGATGGCATAGGCGTAGTGCTATCTTGTGCTTCCCAGTGGGGCATCAGTGGCAGTGGTGGGATTCAGCAGGCCAACAAACGGTTCTGCAGAACCAATAATACATTAGCTACCGGTTCTGTAGAACTGGTGCGAACCTGCTGAATCCCACCACTGATCAGTGGGTTTAAGCTGAAGGCAGGGGGGGAAGGTGGTTCCACCAGAGTCCGAGATTCTGTGTCTGGTTTTGGCACTAACCCTGTGGTTTAAGCTGAGGGGGGGGGGGGAAGGTGGTTCCACCAGAGTCTGAGATTCCATGTCTGGTTTTGGCACTAACCCTGTGATTTTTGGTCTCGTGAAGATACTGGATCTCAGCGTTTCCGGCAGAATTCGATCTCAATCCAGAGCTGGCTGAACAGATCAAAGAGCTGAAGGAACTCCTGGGCCAGGAAGGGAATCAGCAGCACAGCAGCCTGGGGGGGGGGGGAAGGTGGTTCCACCAGAGTCTGAGATTCCATGTCTGGTTTTGGCACTAACCCTGTGATTTTTGGTCTCGTGAAGATACTGGATCTCAGCGTTTCCGGCAGAATTCGATCTCAATCCAGAGCTGGCTGAACAGATCAAAGAGCTGAAGGAACTCCTGGGCCAGGAAGGGAATCAGCAGCACAGCAGCCTGATCAACATAGAGAGCATGTAGGTAAACAAGGGAGACAAACGCCCTCCATAACCACTGATCCTCCTTCGGGGCTTTCTAGCTCGTCAACTCGCTTGTTTGCGGGGTTGCGTTCTTGCAGAAGGGGTGTTGGGGCAGCGGAGGTGGGGGATGCCAGTGTTTGCAGATGCGGTGACTCCGTTCCGGGTTTCAGTGTGAACTTTACAGGAGCCATTTGTGTGGTTTTTTTCCCCCTGAACCCACAAGGGTGTATCTTGCCGTCTTTGGTGGGTGGCTTTTCTGGAGCAGGACCTTCCAAGGGGCGCCTCCCGTTGGGTGGGGATCTCTGCCACCTCATGGAAGCTCCATCAGGTTTCCCACCAGTGGGGTTCCGAAAAACAGGAAAACCTTGAACTTTGGGAGAGGAGCACATTTCCATCTTTGGACACAACACTGTAACTGGAACCCAGACATTTTCTTTTCTTGGCTTATTTACAACCCGCCAGAAACTTCACTGAGTCTTCCTCATTGAGCCTTCGTGGTCTCGAAAGAGGACATTTCCGAGTCTTCAGTTTCCCTTCCCCATGTCCCATAAATGTGCTCCGGAGCCCATCAGCCAGCCTAGCCAGAACCTCCCCATGCTGCAGTACGCTGGTGGCAGTAATTCATCCCTCGTAGGGACTGAGATGTCGCGAATGCTCTGATTTATATTCCTGGGGTTTGTTTGTGAGTTTTCTGAACCCTGTTTCTGGAAGAGTCAAGGCTGCAAGAGTGGAACAGCGCTACAGCACTTGCGGGGCGGGTGGGGATCTTTTTGGCGTACAGCTCCCACTGTGTTGCGCTTTCTGGTTGGAAGAGGCTGGTAGTCCCCAAAAAAGGAACTTTTCCAAGCCCTGAGTACTCATCTTAAAAAAAAAAAAAACCCCTTCCCTAGTTTTAATTAGCATCCAAAGGCTTTGGGATTTGGGACCGGCCAGCCAGCCGGAGAAGGTGCAACCCTGGGGGACTCTTTCTTTAGGCAACCGCTCAAAGCATCCCTTTCTGTACCTCCCTGGAGAAAGGCTGACTTCTTTCCTCCCCTCCCAGACCTACTTACAAGTGGAAGAGGCAAGTCACCCAGCGGCAGCCCGTGGCGCAGAAGAAGCGCAAGACCTCTTTGCTCTTCGACCACCTCGAGTCGGGGGAGCTGGCCGAGCACCTCACCCACCTGGAGTACCGGTCCTTCAGCAAGATCTTGGTGAGGAGGAGAAGCGGCCCAGGAGCATGGGGGGGGCGGGGTGGGATGTCCAGGATGTGCTGGTGTTATAGTTGTTGTTGTTTAGTCATTAACTCAAAGAACCCAAAGAGGCTTATGTTATTAAAAACACAATATTAAAATCTCTCCTTCTTTCTCATTCTCCTTCCTGAGTACAGTGGTGCCTTGCTTAATGGGAGCCTCGTTTAACGACAAATCCGCATAGCGATGAATTTTTTGCGATCGTTTTTGCGATTGCATTGCGATGGTTTAGATAGGAAAATATCGCTTTGCGATGATCGGTGCCCTGTTTCGCATACCGATCATCGCATAGCGATGATTTTCCAACAGCTGATTGGCGGTTCCAAAATGGCCGCAGGGTAAATAAAATGGCCACCCGCTGTGTTTTTGCCCAGATTCCTCACTTACCGGGCAGCGAAAATGGCCGCCATATGGAGGATTTTCGCTTAAAGGTGAGTTTTTTGCCCATAGGAACGCATTAAATGGGTTTTAATGCATTCCTATGGGCTTTGTATTTCCACATAGCGATGAAATCGCTTTGCAGCGATTTTTGCTGCACGGATTATTGTCGCTATGCGGGGCACCACTGTACCGATGGTTCTTTATAAAACTGGGAGGAAGTCACAAGTGGGGTACCCCAAGGCTCAGTCCTGCCCCCCCCCGTGCTCTTCAACAATTTTAATTAATGACTCTGGAGGAGGCTATGCAGGGACATTTGCAGATGACTTAAAATTGGGTGCAATAGATGTCACCTTGCAAGACAGAAACAAAGTTCAAGAAGATCTTCATAGGCTTGAGCACTGCGATGAAAACAACAGAATGAAATTCAACAGGGAGATGTGGAAAGTCCTCCTAGAAAAAAAGAAACCACATGCGAATCTTCCTAAGTGTTAGAGTAGTACAGCAACGGAACGGTGGTGAGCGCTCCAGCAGTGGAAGCATTGAAGAGAAAATTAGACCCCCCCAGTGTCAGATCTGCTTTGATTTTGGACTCTAGCATTGAGCAAGGAAATTCAATTCGATGGCCCGCTAGGCCACTTCCAACTCCATTATTCTGTGATTGTATGAACCCGGTCCTTTCCGATGAGAGTCACCTTTTCAAGACTAAAAACAGAGAAGTTTGCTTTGCTGAGGTTTTTTAAAAGTGTAAATTGCAGTTCATTTATTTGCGCTCCTCCAGCCATGAGCACACGACTCAACACTTTTAGCGGTCTAAAACCTTTCTGCACAGTTTTTGTGCGTGCCTGGGCTTTCACATCGCTTTTTCTCTAAAGCACCACTTAACAGAATTCCTCTTTTCGATTCCACTTCTCAGAATCCCCCCATGTTACACAATCCACGCACATTCCGGCTCAGAGATTCTGGAATTCTTCTAAAAGGAACATTTTCCAAATTGTGTTTCAGCGTGTTGTTTGTTTCTGCTCTTTAATTTTAATGCATTTTACACATTTTTTCCTCTGACAAAACGATGGCGGGTTTGTTTGAGTATTTTTGGAGTATAAAATTACAAGGAAGACATACACGGCCCCTTTGGTTATGTCTGTTTTCCTGCGTATCGCTAGAAACAAACAAACCAAAAATCTAACAGTTTCCTATTGATAACCAGAAATGAGGAAATATGTGTGCAATATTTATAAGCAGCGTCAGGGTCAACGAACACATAATAGAGAAAATGCTTGCATCCTGTTATTAAAACCTTTTCCCTCCAGACACACAGTTCCTTCAAAGCGTCACATATGTCTGTTTTCCTGCGTATCGCTAGAAACAAACAAACCAAAAATCTAACAGTTTCCTATTGATAACCAGAAATGAGGAAATATGTGTGCAATATTTATAAGCAGCGTCAGGGTCAACGAACACATAATAGAGAAAATGCTTGCATCCTGTTATTAAAACCTTTTCCCTCCAGACACGCAGTTCCTTCAAAGCGTCACGCCCAAGCAGTTAGACATACAAATAAAGCCTGCCTTTTCCCTCTAAACAACCGGTCACGAAACAAAAAGAAGTTGCAACAAGCAAAGAGAAGCAATCTAAGACAAACTTTAATGTCTTAAAGAAGCTCTGTTTGCAATGACCCATGAACTGTATCTCCTGGTATGAGTCTCTTATTAAGAATCTTAGGTATCGTGATTTTTCTCCCCCGTTCATGTGATTTTGCATCCTTCTATTGCTCTTGTTGACGACTCTTCTGCCGTCTACTCTCTCCTCCTGCTTCCCAGTTCCAGGACTATCACAGTTTTGTCATGCACGGCTGCACGGTGGACAACCCCATCCTGGAGCGATTCATCACCCTCTTCAACAGCGTCTCCCAGTGGGTTCAGCTGATGGTTCTCAGCAAGCCTACCGCTCAGCAGCGAGCCCAGGTCATCACGCGCTTCGTCATGGTGGCGCAGGTGAGGAGACGTGAAGGCTGGAACTCTCAGACCTTGCGTGACCCTTTGGGGGGGTGTCCGTCTGGTTTAGGGTGGGCCTGGGTAGCCCCTCAAGGTGTAGCCTGCAGGGACCCCTCTTCCTGTCCCCAAGTTTCCTCTGCTCTTACGTCTGACCGGTGGACAAAGAGGAGCCGGGATGTAAAGCCCACAACCTGTTGCATGAATTGACCTGGTTTTGCAGCCCGGGTCGTTGTTCCCTGGAAGCGAATTCTGCTTTGCAGTGCTATTTCGTGATCTATTTGGATTGGCAGCAGTCCTCCCGGATTGCTGACCGATTGCTCAAAATCCTTTTGAGATCGATAGGCAAATGGCGTAACATTTGGAGGCACATTTCCGCAGGCTGCGAAGTCCCTCTAGGCATTATTAATTAAGTGCTTTCTTAACTGCCTCTAAAAGTGTTGCTGTTTGTGCTACACCCGAGTAACTAGACAAGAAGACCACGACCTCGCAAAACGATGAATCCGCATGACGATGAGGTTTTGCGATCGCTATAGCGATTCACAAAACAGTGTTTCCAATGGGCGATTTTCGCTGGACGATGTTTGGGTCCATGCCTCGCAAACTGTTTCTCGCAACACGACAATTTTGGCAGTGATCGGCGCTTCGCAAAATGGGTGTTTTTGGGACCGATGCTTCGCAGGGCAACCATTTTAACAGCTGATCGGCGCTTCGCAAAATGGCTTCCCTATGGGCGATCTTCGCAAAACGACGATGATTTTCCCCGTTGGAACGCATTAAACGGGTTTCAATGCATTCCAATGGGGAAACGGTTTTCGCAAGACGTTTTCACAGACAGCGATTTCTATGGAATGGATTATCATCATCATGCGGGGCACCATTGTACCTTCAAATCTAGAAGTATCCACAGCTTTCAACATGACCGACGTGTTGCAGTTAGAACAAACCTTTCAATTTTCACATGGTTTTTCTCCCCAAAGCCTCATCGTTCTAGAGACAAGTTCTCCTCAAATCCCTGATGCGATTTACTCTCCTGCGCTTTCGTGGTCTCGCTTCAAATCCAATGGCTTTCCAAAACACCCCTAAACTTGATTTTAGACAAGTAAACAGCCCCAGAACGCCAGTAACCGCTGGTTGGCCGGCAGGCAAGCTGGTATATAAATAACACCTGCTTGGTTTTTATCGGTCCCTGATGGACGATGTGAAGTTCAGGGCAATATTTTTCTCCTCCTTTTCTCTCTCTCTCTCTCTCTCCAGGTAGCTTTCATTTGAAGGAGAGAGGGGTGGGTTGGAGAGTTCATAGGAGCAGATCAATAAAAATCTATTTATACGTTCACAGATCAAGAAGGAGTGCCTTGATATACATCCCTCATCAAGCGAGAATCAATGCAGCCTTCAGCTCAGAGACTGGGGGCTGCAAGCTTCCCTCTTAGAACTTCTCTGTCTCATCCTGTATCTTACACACTGAGTGTTGTACGAAAAACATTTAAGACCAGAGATGTCCACAGATGACATACTCCCCACCACCTTGTGGCTTCCAGTCTCACAAATGCTCCAGACTTTTAAACCCCTCCTTGTTGTTTAGTCATGTCCGACTCTTCGTGACCCCATGGACCGGAGCATGCCAGGCCCTCCTGTCTTCCACTGCCTCCCGGAGTTGGGTCAAATTCATGTTGGTCGCTTCAGTGACCCTGTCCAGCCATCTCATCCTCGGTCGTCCCCTTCTTCTCTTGCCTTCACTCTTTCCCAATATCAAAGTCTTTTCCAGGAAGTCTTCTCTTCTCATGAGAAGACTATTAAAGCCCTAATACGTATCAAAACAATTTCCAAATCTCTGGAGAGTGCAAATTAAATACAGGTTCACTCCGGTTCCCATGGGCCTTTTTAAGAAGTTAGAATTAAACCAACAGTTCGTGATTTTGGACTTTTTTATTCAGAGTGTTTGGGGCTGGGACTTTTTATCTTCCTGAGGGTAAAGAGGACTCTCTGAGGTCTATCAGCCTTTTTTCTCCCAATCTCTGCATTTTATCAGCCTTGGGGGTGAGATGACTAAGGAACTGTTGTTTTATTGTAGAAGAGGGAGCAGTGTGTTAGTCTGTGCAAGTATCATAGTAGGTGGAAAAAAAAGTAAAATAAGAGAAAAACATGGTGGTACCTTAAAAACTACCTTTTATATTTTTTTTTGATATGGGCTTTCGTGAACAAGTCGACTTCATCAGAAGGAAGACGAGAAATAGGAGAAAAACATGGTGGCACCTTAAAAACTACCTTTTATATATTTTTTTAATATGGGCTTTTGTGAACAAGTCGACTTCATCAGACGGAAGACTAACATGGCCAATATTTTATACACATACCTATCAATACAGAGACTGTGGTCGGTTGGTGAGAAAGTCAGGCTTCGTGTCTTTGAGATGCAGGTCTTGTGAAAACCTTGTCGTAAATTAACAGTGGTAGAATAACAATGGTAAAATAACAATGACAGAGTAACATGAATGCTAACTAGATGGGCTGTTTACAGTCCTTGATGAACTTCTTTCTCTGCAAGAAGATGGGCTGTTTACAGTCCTTGATGAACTTCTCTGCAAGCTGTTCTTTGTTGCAAAGTTGAGTGAATTACCCCAGGCAATGAGTAGAGTGGAATTCTTTGTTGCAAAGTTGAGTGAATTACCCTAGGCAATGAGTAGAGTGGAATTCCTTTCACCTTAGAAATTTCTAAGGTGGATCTGTTGAGGGGGTTAAAAATATCTGGGAGATGCAGGACAGCTCAGAATCAGAGCTTGGAAGTACAGTGGTGCCTCGCTAGGCAGTTACCCCGCGTGACAGTTTTTTCGCTAGACATTGGCTTTTTGCGATCGCTATAGCAATTCGCAAAACAGTGATTCCTATGGGGGAATTTCGCTGGACAATATTTGGTCCCTGCTTCGCAAACTGATTTTCGCTAGACGACGATTTTGACAGCTCCCTCCGCGCTCGCAAAACAGGTGTTTTCGGGACCTAAGCTTCGCAAGACAGCGATTTAAACAGCTGATCGGCGATTCGCAAGGCGGCTTTCCTATGGCCAATCATCACTAGACAACAACGATTCTTCCCCATTAGAATGCATTAAACAGGTTTCAATGCATTCCAATAGGGAAATGTTTTTCGCTAGACAATGATTTCGCTAAACAGCGATTTCAGTAGAATGGATCATCATCGTCTAGCGAGGCACCACTGTACCTTCTTACAGTTAATGCAATTACCTGTGACTACTTATCATCGTCTAGCGAGGCACCACTGCACCTTCTTACAGATAATGCAGCTACCTGTGACTAGTTCTTCACCACCACATACATTTTTGGATTAAAAGGGGAAAAAACAAAGGGCTTCTCTCGGTGGAACTAATATTCTGATCCTGTTTGTTGTGAAGGAGTGCAGGACTTAATGAGTTTGCATCCAAATCTCACTTAACGAGTTTGCATCCGAACTTCGCTTTTATTGATTGCTTGTCTGAAACCTCTTCTCTTTGAAGAACATCTTGGAGACCAGTAAAATATAGTTTTGGAAAACCAATTTCTCCACCAACGCATCTATTCTTGAGTTAGAAAGAGAGAGAGAGAGAGAGCGCTCTGTGTTTGTGTGTGTGTGTGTTTTAAATGATTCCTTGCTGTTTTCTCTCTTTTGGAGCTTTTTCCTTCGTTTGTTTTTCTGGCTAATTGGATACTTCGAAGGCTTCTGACAGGCTGGGAAACTTTGACTGCCTTAATGAACTGAGTTCATTACAAAGTAAGAGGAGAAGCTCACGATAAAAATAAAAACGACGAGAAGTCTGGGGTCTTTGTCGGTGTCCGCCCCTGAAAAATCATGGAAGCGCTTGCGTCTCGTGGATGGCGGGCAGGTGTTTTGGATGGATACAGATACCCATGCCATTTGGATTGCAGTTTTTAAACACTGCGATCGCAACAAGAACTACTGTGAACGTTGCGATGAAAAGAGGAAGGAGCTGCTTTTTAGAAAACGAAATTTCGGTGCTCTGATTCGGATTGTGGTAGTGTGTCCGGGTCACCCCGGGTCCTGGGTTCAAGGTACTGAATGGGGCCCCAGATCGGTCTCCCACAGTGGCATCTTAGTGGCGCCCCTGGTTCGTACCTCCAGGTCATTTCGTTCCCGCTGTAGTCGCAACTGGGAGTGTATCTAACGCTACAGGGTCCTACTGGTTTCATAGCCGTTCTGCTGCATCGAATCCTGGCATTTGCAGTCTCGGGAGGACGTCCTTAGACGTTTCTGCAAGAGCGATTTAGGCTACTTTGTTGACTTCCGGGAGAGAATCCCTTGTACCAAATTCCAAGATTCTGCAGGACGGAACCATGGCAGTTAAAGTGGGACCATACTGGTATCAATCAATCGACGTGTATTTCCACTAGCCATATGCCATAGCAAAGGAAATATAAAACCTGCAAAGATACAGGTTCAACGCCGTCAGACTGGTATAATTGTGGCATGCCCCAGTTCACCTCCAGCTTGGCTGCTGAATTTCTGTATTCTTGGAGTCTGTGCCACACCTCACATGAGCCACGTCCGTAGAGGAGAAGGGTATTTATTTGTGGGAGAACAGGCCACGCTTGAGGTTAGACTATACATGACACATTATATATATCTGGTAGCTGGCGAAACCATCGCCTCTCTTGTCTTGTCTTCCTGTGCTAACTCAGAGGCTCCTCCTGCTCCAGAACTTCAACACCCTGATGGCCGTCGTGGGGGGCCTCAGCCACAGCTCGGTGGCCCGCCTCAAGGAGACCCACAGTTTCGTGAGCCCAGAGACCACCAAGGTAAGTGAAGAGAGAAAGAGAGAGAGAAAGGGGGTTCCAGGGAAAAGATTGTTGCAGGCACAGTGGTGGGGTTTGAAATGGGTTCCAGCAAGACATGGGTGTCCTAAAATGGGGACAAGGAGTTAATTACAGTGGTGCCCCGCAAGACGAATGTAATTAGTTCCGCGGCAATCGCCGTCTTGTGAAAAAATCGTCTTGTGAGGTTCCCTATGGGAACCTTGCAAGACGAATGAAATTTATTCATCTTGCGAGGCATCGGTCTCGGGGCAAAACCTGTCTTGCGAAGCATGGCCATAGTAGAAACCGTCTTGCGAGGCACCATAGCAATTGCAAAAACCAATCGTCTTGCGGGTTTCTCGTCCTGCTAGGCAATCGTCTTGCGAGGCACCGCTGTATTCCAATTCCATTATATTTTTATGGCCGATGAGGAGGACAACATGTCTTGAGTGATTTTCTGCCCCTGGGGTTGCCAAAATAAGTTGGTCGGCTGTGTTGTGCTGCAAGTCTAGGCTTGATAGAGGGGCCTTTGCTGTCCTGCCTCAGGCAGCAAACTGTCTCGGGTAGTTCGAGGGTCACACAACGCAAAAGTGCTCTGCTCATGGATGTGGCAAGTCTTCCCGTGAGGCAGGTCTCTCGGACCTGCAGGTCTGAGCAATCGGGCTTGCAAATGACACTCGTGTTTACCTCCCAGTGACCAATCACAGAAGGTGGGAGGAGGTGACAAAAGGCCATACAAGGACAAGCAGATGTCCTCTAATACGTAAGGGAGTTCTGTTTCCGAATGCAGAGCTAAACATCTTATGTGGTATTAGGTTTTCAACTAACGGTAGGAGAGAAGGCTAGAGAAAATGCCCGCCCCCATGGAAAGACAAGCAGTCTTCCCATGCCCTGTCTATGGGAAAACAATACTTTCTCACCTCATTTCTCCATGGGAAAGATAAACATTTCCCATCCCTAAAAATGAGGCAGAGGGGTGAGGAAATGATAGTATCTTTTGGGACTGCGGTTCCCAGAATTAAAAAAAAACAAAACAGCATGGAATCAGAAATTCAGCAAACAGACGTCTCCTGCCTCTGCTCAAGTTGAATACAATGCTTGGCTGATGGGGATTTGTGGCTTCCATGTGAGAATAAAAGCAAGTCACTAGTCCTCATGGGCAGCACCTCAGTGCTCTAGGAAAGCCGTGGCTTCCCTCTCCTGTGCTTTCCATTTGCTCCCCGAGCCCATTTCTTTGCAAAAGGGTATTTTCTAACCCCCGTTTCTAAGTGCTGTCCCCCCCCACCTGGTTTCTGTGCCAACTCTTCAGGTCTGGGAATCGCTGCTGGAGTTGCTGTCCTCGGTGGGGAATTACAGCCGTTACCGGAAGCGCTTTGCGGAGTGCGTGGGATTCAAGTTCCCCATCCTCGGGGTCCACCTCAAGGACTTGGTGGCCGTTCACGTGGCCCTCCCGGACTGGCTGGACCGGGCCCACACCTGCCTCAACGGGAACAAGATGCAGCAGCTCTTCAGCATCCTCAGTGAACTGGCCATGGTGCAAAGTATCCGACCCCCCTTTGAAGCCAATCCGGACCTCCTCAACTTGCTCATGGTAAGAGGTTGTATATAATACAGTGGTGCCTCGCTTGACGAGGATAATCCGTGTCGTTAAAATCGCTGTTAAGCGAAATCCTCGTCAAGCGAAATTAAAAAGCCTATTAGAATGCATTAGAAACTGGCTAATGCATTCTAATGGGTGAAATACCTCATCGTAAAGCGAAGATCCTCCATAGGGCGGCCATTTTCCGGTGCCTGTCTTGCGCAAAATGCCTCCTAAAAACAGCGGGGGGGCATTTTGAAAACCATCGATCAGCTGTTGAAAAAACATCATTTAACGAAAAATCGGTTCCCGAAGCAATGAATGAAACCTCATTCAAACATCGTTTTGTGAGCGCTTTTGCGATCGCAAAAACATCATCGTGAAACGGATTCATCGTTAAATGGGGTAATCGTCAAGCAGGGCACGACTGTAATACTCCCCTGGGTCTCCCCACTACGTCTCCCAGAATCACCCAGCTGGACATGGAACCCAGCCATGTTCCACAAGGGGGTGTGTCCAGAGCCCAAAGTGGGCAGGGTGCAGAGGAGACCCTAGGGCATTTAAATCCTTGTTCCAGTCTCTGCAACGGGTGCCCTTTGCTAGTTTTAGTGTAGAAGGCGAGTCTCCGTGTCCAGGTGAGGAGGAGGAAAAGGGGAGAATAGGAAGGCCTGAAACCAGAGTCTTAAGAGATGGGCATTTGACCCGTGGCTGGACATTTCCCACCCCGATACATGATTGTGTGTCTCTCTTTATGCGTGCGCGCGTGCATGCCAGGCCTCCAAGTGCCTCTTTTATGGAAGGCAAAACCCTTACAGGACCTTAGCAGTTATGCGAGGGTGTCGTGGAATGTTAATGAACATTCCAACTATTGAAGGTTGAGGCTGGGTGCCAACAGGGTGGGTTTGGAGGAAAGGAAAGAAAGAGTCTTGACTTCGAAAGCAGCAAATAGCCCGACCCAGTCGGTGCCTGGTGGGAGGAGAGAATGGGCAAGGGCGGGGCTTTTCAAGGCTTAGGGGCGCAGAACGAGGGAGGGCAGGCCAGCCAAACTGCTGACAGAAGGGGTTGGAATTCCCACCCCCACCCGCATAACAGTTTGAGCTCTTCTCTGACTCATCCGGCTGTTGGCTTTCTTTTGTTTGTTCCGCCCTCCCTTGAACCTCCCTCCCTTGTCAAACTTGCCAGCAACTACAATGCAAACCTTTTGGGAGGCCAGGATCACAAGGGCGATAAACAATTACTACAACAAGCGCGCTGTTCTCCTTTAATCCTAGCAGACTAAAGGGAGGCCAGACTGAAAACTCTTTTTCTCTCTCTCTCCACCCCCCCACAAAAGAAGACCCAGGCTTGACCTTGGTTTCCTGTTATCATCCTAAAGCAGATTCTGTGCCAAATCCTCTCTCTCTCTCTCTCTCTCTCTGGATTTCAGAAATCCAGATGCAAATAGCAGCTGTACACGGAGGGGATCTGAACGAGTACCTTAGGGACACGGGAGAAGGACTTTTAACACTCTTCCCTCCCTCCCTGCAGTGGTGGCAACATTGCTGTCCTTCCTAAACTTGCTGCTGGATCAGGATTGAAGCTTTCACTGGAAGCTCAGAATCACTGAAACGACAAAGCATAGCGCCAGGGGGTGTGGTGGGCACAGTGTGGGGAAGAGAGAATCCTGCTAAAGAATGTCATTTTTCTGCTCCGCGGTGTGTGTGTGTGTCTCGTGGAGTTTTCCAATAAATTACCGTGCAGGTTTCCGAACCTCCCCTCCTCAACCTGAAGAAAATGGCCAAAGTATGTGTTTAAACGGTGCTCTGTTTAGAGCCAGCCCTGACGTTAAAGCAGCTGCCTTAATTGGCCACGGGGTGATGGGGGGAAAACACAAGGTGTGTGCCATAGGGTGCCCCACACTCCCTAAGCTGCAGTGGTGCCTCGCTAGACAGTTGCCCCGCATGACAGTTTTTTCTCTAGACATTAGCTTTTTGCGATCTCTATAGCGATTCGCAAAACAGTGATTCCTATGGGGGAATTTCGCTGGACAATGTTTGGTCCCTGCTTCGCAAACCGATTTTCGCTAGACGACGATTTTGACAGCTCCCTCCGTGCTCACAAAACAGGTGTTTTCGGGACCTAAGCTTTGCAAGACAGCAATTTAAAGAGCTGATCGGCGGTTCGCAAAGCGGCTTTCCTATGGCGATCTTCGCTAGACAACAACGATTCTTCCCCCTTAGAACGCGTTAAATAGGTTTCAGTGCGTTCCAATGGGGAAATGTTTTTCGCTAGACGATGATTTCGCTAAACAGAAATTTCAGTGGAATGGATTATCATCGTCTAGCGAGGCACCACTGTATCTCATTGTCGTCAGGTATGCTGAAGGGTGTTCTCCTACCCATATTGAAGAAAGAGTCAGCCTCTTGCGCACAAGGAATAGGAGATGGATGTCGTCAGTTTCTGTGCACGTTCACAAGACCCCTCAAAGAGCACCCCACTGTTCTCTGTCTCAGGTAGCAGAAGGCCCAGGGGTGGCCCTGGCACTGCCCCCATGAAATTAGCCCTTTTGGGATGCCAAGTCAACCCCGGGAAGTCCAACTCCAGCAGCACGAAGGGTCAGGTTCCCCAAGTTTCTTGATTAATTCTCTAGTTTGCGAGTCTCCCACTGATCAACGAGGCTGGCCCTTTGCAGCAAGTCTAAATGTAAGGAGGAATTTCATCATGGCAAGATCTGCTTGGTGGTAGAGCAGAACAAATATGTGGCTAGTTATAGGAAGCCAGATTTAGGCTGAATATCAGGAAAAGCTTCTTGTGTTAGAGCAGTACGACAATGGAACCATTGACCTTGGGAAATGGTGAGCAATCCAGTGCCAGAGTCATTCAAGAGAAAATTGGACAAGCATCTGTCATATCTTCCTTCCTTCCTTCCTTCCTTCCTTCC